TTTGAACTCTAGAGAAGCTTTTAAAAATTCTGCACCTGACAAGTAGAGTATACTTTCTTCTCAAAGAATAAAACCTGTATACAAATCTACAATAATTTCAACAACATTTTGTTCTCTGACCTCAGATGGACTAGAAATAAAAATTAAATCCCACACATTTGAAATTAAAAAGCACACTTTTAAAAAATTAGTATGTCAAAGAAGAAAACAATAGAAATAAAGAATACTTAGAACTATGTACAATGAAATTATTATACATTAAAATTTGTATAATACATTAAACTTTGTGGGATGTAGCACATGGTACTTAAAAAGAGATTTACTTATTTATGTTTTTTTTCAACTTTTAAGTTCCGGGGTACATGTGCAGGATGTACAGGTTTGTTACACAGATAAACATTGTGCCATGGTGGTTTGCTGCACAGATCATCCCATCACCTAGGTATTAAGCTCAGCATCCATTAACTGTTCTTCCTGACGCTCTCACTCCTCCTGCACCCACCGTCCGACAGCCTCCAGTGTGTGTTGTTCCCCCCGTGTGTCCATGTGTTCTCATCATTCATCTCCTATTTATAAGTGAGAATATGCAGTATTTGGTTTTCTGTTCCTGCATTAGTTTGCTGAGGATAATGGCTTTCCAGCTCCATTCATGTTCCTGCAAAGGACATGAGCTCATTCCTTTTTATGACTGCATAGTATTCCATGGTGTACATGTACCACATTTTCTTTATCTAGTCTATCATTAATGGGCATTTAGGTTGATCCCATGTCTTTGCTCTTGTGCATAGTACTGCAGTGAACATATGTGTGCAGGTATCTTTATAAGAGAGTGGTTTATATTCCTTTGGGTATATACCCAGTAATGGGATTGCTGGATCAAATGCTATTTCTGCCTCTTAAGTTTTTGAGGAATCACCACACTGTCTTCCACAATGGTTGAACTAATTTATACTCCCACCAACAGTGTAAAAGTGTTCCTTTTTCTCTACAACCTCACCAACATCTGTTGTTTTTTGACTTTTTAATAATTGCCATTCTGACTGGTGGGAGATGGTATCTCATTGTGGTTTGCATTTCTCTGATAATCAGTGAAGCTGAACTTTTTTTCACATTTGTTGACCACATGTATGTCTTCTTTTAAGAAGTATCGATTCATGTCCATTGCCTTTTTTATGGGGTTGTTTTTTTCTCGTACATTTGTTTAAGTTCCTTGTAGATGCTGGATATTACATCTTTGTCAAATGGATAGATTGCAAAAATTTTCTCCCATTCTGTAGGTTGCCTGTTCATTCTGATGATAGTTTATTTGCTCTGTAGAATCTCTTTAGTTTGATTAGATCCCATTTGTCAAGTTTTGCTTTTGTTGCAATTGCTTTTGGTGTCTTTGTCATGAGATCTTTGCATGTGCCTATGTCCTGAATGGTATTGCCTAGATTTTCTTCTAGGTTTTTATAGATTTGGGTTTTACATTTAAATCTTTAATCCATCTCAAGTAGATTTTTGTATATGGTACAAGGAAGGGGTCAAGGTTCAATTTTTTGCATATGGCTAGCCAGTTCTCCCAGCACCATTTATTACATAGGGAATACTTTTCCCATTGCTTGTTTTTGTCAGGTTTGTCAAAGATCAGGTGGTTGTACGTGTGCAGTCTTATTTCTGAGTTCTGTATTCTGTTCCATTGGTCTATGCATGTGTTCTTGTACCAGTACCATGCTGGTTTGATTACTGTAGCATTTTAGTATCGTTTGAAGTGAGGTAGCGTGATGACTCCAGCTTTGTTCTTTTTGCTTAGGCTCGTCTTGAGTATTCAAGCTCTTTTTTGGTTTCATTTGAATTTTAAAATAGTTTTTGCTAGTTCTCTGAAGAATGTCAATGGTAATTTAATGCGAATATCACTGAATCTATAAATTGCTTTGGGCAGTATGGCTGTTTTCATGATATTGATTCTTCCTATCCATGAGCATGGAATGTCTTTTCATTTGTTTTTATCACCTCTGATTTCTTTGAGCAGTGGTTTTTAGTTCTCCTTAAAGAGCTCTTCACTTCCTTTGTTAGCTGTACTCCTAGGTATTTTAAATCCTTTTTGTGGCAATTGCAAATGGGAGTTCATTCACGATTTGGCTCTCTGCTTGCCTGTTGTTGGTGTATAGGAATGCTAGCAACTTTTGCACATTGATTTTGTATTCTGAGACTTTGCTGAAGTTGCTTATCAGCTTAAGAAGATTTTGGGCCAGGCGTGTGGCTCATGCCTGTAATCCCAGCACTTTGAGAGGCTGAGGCAGGGGGATCAATCTCGAGGTTGGGCGAGTTTGCAGACCAAGGCCTGACCAACATGGAAGAAACCCCATCTCTTACTAAGATACAAAATTAGTCGGACATGGGTGGCGCATGCCTGTAATCCCAGCTACTTGGGAGACTGGAGGCAGGGAGAATCGCTTGAACCCAGGGAGGTGGAGGTGTGGGTGGTGAGCTGAGATCGTGCCATGCACTCAGCCTGGGCAACAAGAGTGAAACCCCGTCTCAAAAAAAAAAAAAAAAAGCTTTTGGGCTTAGACAATGGGTTTTCTAGATATAGGATGATGTCATCTGCAAAGACAGTTTGACTTCCTCTCTTCCTCTTTGAATATCCTTTAATTTTTAAAGAGAGATATATAACCTTCAATGCTTGATATTTAAGAAGCTTTAAAAAGTTAGTAGCATAAAATATCAAAATCAAAAAAAGTAATAAATAAAAGAAAATTTCAAAACAATACTCAGTCAAATAACTAGAATATTAACTATTAACATAAGCAAGTTTATCTCTTAACAATTACTTTCAGATTGGCTTTTAGAAAATGAGCAAGAAACCCACTTATATGCTATATACAAAGGAAACATTTAAACCCACGTAAACTTAAAGAAATGGATCAAAATACGTCAGGCAACCCCAATCCAAAATAAAAACAATACACTGATAAAAACCCAATCACAATTAAAGTATATAATCATGATTATAAATATTTGTGTACAGAATAACATAGTATCATATATAATAAACATAATGTTAAAAATATGAAGACAAATTGGCAGACACACAATTGTCTCTAGACAGTTTAACAAGCCTTTTTTTTGTTGTTGTTGGGAGTCTTGCTCTGACGCCCAGGCTGGAGTGCAGTGGCATGATCTTGGCTCACTGCAACCTCTGCCTCCCAGATTCAAGCAATTCTCCTGCCTCAGCCTCCCGAGTAGCTGGGATTACAGGTGCCCTCCACTGCACCCAGCTAATTTTTGTATTTTAGTGGAGACAGGGTTTCACCATGTTGGCCAGGCTGGTCTAAAACTCCTGACCTCAGGTGATCCACCCACCTCGGCCTTCCAAAGTGTTGGAATTTATAGGCATCAGCCACTGTTCCCAGCCTTAACAAGCCCCTTTAAGCCTCTGATAGACCTATAAGCCCAGAATAAGAATATAGGATATCTATTCATTCAAGATTAATGTGATTGACTTAATAGGTACATAAAATTTTCATGCACAACCAGAAACTCACTTTCTACCAAAATCTTATTTGGCATATAAGAAAGGGGATTCAAAAATCTCCTGATTAAATTAGATTTTTTTATGTACAAAGAAAAAAGAATGACTGTCAATGAATTAAGTGTTTTATTAATGCTAGGAAAAGACCTATAACAATCTCAACCACTTTATTCAGGATTCTTTGATTGCAAAAGACAGAAATGCAGAATGAATTAGCTCAAGTCCAGAAGAAGGATTTATGGACACTTTCCCAGATTGTGGAAAGACAAGGTGGAGCTGGCTGTAGGGATAAGAGGGTTCAGAGACCTCTTATCTAAAGCTATAAGACTTCCCCTCATTATTTTTCATTTCCACTCTCCTCTCATTCCTTCCACATAGAGTTTCTCTATGGTGGGGGACTTGTCTGTTTTGGGAGCTCCTAGCTAAATTGAGATTTCAGTACCAAGTAGCTAGCAAACTTGCTCCTGTATGCTTGCTTGAACATCACTCTAGGCTAGGAGCCTGCCCTTGTGTCCATTCCCCGCCTCCCACCCCTGCCGCATCCCAGAAAATCCAGACCTGGGGCAGCCCCTGGTTCTTCAATTCAATACACCATCATAATAGGAAACAAGTTCAAGAATTTCTACTTACAGATTCTGGGCAGAGAGGCTGCAATGAATTGGGAGAGCAGCCCACCATCCCTGGGTCATGGAAAGCAGGAATAAAGAGTCAGTTGGGCAGGGAGAGAGACAAAGAGAGCGAGCATGCACATGCAGTTGGTAACTTGCGGGATATATAAGGGGATAGAGTATGGCATACTTTAAGCTCATGAGCAAATGCCTGAATGGTCAGTTCAAAAGAAACAGTGGGAAAAATGGAATGCCCAGTCTGCTGGACAGGAGAGGTGCCTCTTAAGTTCTTATCTCTGGTCACTAGCTTGAAGCATTTGGGTGTGGTATATATACTGTGTCAAGTGTGACTGAGTCCTGCTTCTGGTATGAGAAACTTAAATCTGTATTCCAAATGGATGCTGAGGTAACATAAAATTATAAGGTTCATTATAGTGGCCTGTGACCCGTCCAGATGCATGCACTGTCTATCTCAGTGGTTGTAGTGGAGACAGTCACTATGTGTTCATTACTCTGTAGCCGCTTCCTGACACAAGGAATATGGCGTTTTCCAGCCTCTTTTGCAGTTAGTTTGGGGTCCTGTTGTCAATGAGCTCCGTGGATGAGAAATGAGTCACTTCTGGTTGGAGGGACTTCAGAGCAGGCGTGAGTTGTCTATGTTCTCTCCTCCCTTACATGGTGACCCTGCAAGTCCTGTGTCGAGAAGCAAAGCTACAGACACAGGTAGAGTCATGACTTGTGAATGGGTTGGTCTGGAGTGCTGATGGACTTGCTGAGGACTTCATGTAGTGAGGAATGAATTTGGGACATTGTTTAGCATAACCGATACTTGTCTAAATAAACTGATACTACAGTGACAAAGATATGTTCCCCAACAGCTTGAGAAAATCCTGAAGATGGAATCTGTTGGAACCATGTTGGCTTATCTGTTCATCTCTGGACTAATCAATGGGGACAGCAGGATAAGGTAGTATGGATGGCTCGATCTGGATTATGTGTGCACTCCTATGGCTAGAGGATAGGTCTGTTATGGGAAGAGGGGAGGGGATTGCACAGACATGGCTACTGCTGGGAGTCGTGAAGTTGTCCCAATTTGTCACTACTTTATTAAACCAAACAGGACAATGCTAATAATCATAAAAACAGAAGTTATTGAAAATAAATAAAACCCATAAATAAGCTCAAACATTCTTTTGCTGAAAGAGAAAATAAAATAGATAAGCCTCTGGCTTCGTCAAGAAAAGACAAACACAAACATAGATTTAGAAATGAGAAATTAGGAAAAGGATATTGGCCATATCAAATTTGAGTGGCAGATTTATGCTAATTGTGTTGAAAAACTTTGTAAAATATATGTGCCTTTTTCAGAATGTGGCGACATAATTTTGAAAGTCATTTATAATAATAAATGGAAGAAAATTACTGAGAATCTTTTGAAAGAGAGAGGGGATGACTTTTTCTACTTGTTAAAACATAAAATTATAAGTAAATTATACTCATATAGGAATTACTAGGTTTGTTCTTACTGTAGAATATGTTAGATCTAATATATGATTTTTTTACAATATATTCTGTTTTAAGCATATCATTTGAATTTGGATTCCAATTTTCCACCATACATATAATTTATAATTCACTAAACATATTTTTAATTTTAACTGATTTCAGGACTCACTGCTAATCTATTTTTTGATGTTTACAATCATTTTCAAAAGTTATGTTTTGATTTAATCTCAGTTTTCCACAACAGTTATCACCAGTTGATATATTATGTATTTATTTGTTTTTTTATTTAATGCTTTGTTTTCAAGATTCATCTACATTGTTGTGCAGAGTAATAGTTTATTCATTTTCATTATTGTATACTATTCCATTAAGTAAAGATATTACAATTTTTGCATTCTACATGAATGGATGTTTGAGTTATTTCCACTTTTTTGGTGGTTATTACAAATAATGCTTCTATGAACATCACTCTATATGTATATGGGCACACATAAGCATGCATTTCTATAAGATGTACACCTGGAAGTAGAATTGGCAGGTAGTAGTTTACAGGTATGGTGAACTGTACTGAAGAATTCAACTTGGCTTCCAACGTGGTTGTAATTCATTTTAAAGCAATCTAGCAGGTGTGTAGTGATATCTCCTTGTGGTTTTAATTTGCCCTGCTCTGATTCCTAATGAGGTTGAGCTCCTTTTCGTTTGTTTATTGGCCATTCGAATTTTCTCCTTTGTGAGGTGCCTATTCAGATGTTTAGTTTTGGTCATTTGACTTTCTTACTGACTTAGGAGTCCTTTGCTTATTCTGGATATAATGTATAATACAAAAAAAGCTACTCTGGATATAATGTGTAATGCAAAAATCTACTACTCCATAGCTCAATGATCTCTTTTGATGAATGTAGGTTTTTTTCCCCCTTATTTTCATGATAAGTGTTTAAATCTTTTCTTTAAGGGTTAGTGATATTTACATCTCTTTAAGAAGTCTTTTTTCTAGGACCCACAAGCCAATCAGAAGGTACTCCAAATATCCAAAACTAAAACAACTTGAGCAACAAAATAAATAATGATAGTATTTGTAGAATAATATATATACATATGAACCAATACAAATAAATAATTGAATAAATAAAAGGGAGGAAAGGACAGCTCTTCCTTACAGAAGAATATTAATTTTAAAATGAAGAAGAAATTAGGAAATAAAAAATCACTATTAGGCAAACACTGCGATATTATTTGTTGTAAGCAGGGTCCCCTAATGGATGCTAAAATCAGTAGAGGAAAAACAGGATATTTTTGAAGTATTTTCCCCAAATATTTATTAATTGCAAAGGGAAAAATAGTTAACTTTATAGTGGAGGAAGCTGGTAGACACCATCTTAACGAGATGGCCAGAGTTAAGATCACAGGTTTTAAGACATACAATTCACCTCCTGGTACGATGAACTGAAAACAGACTGACATCACTTCTATGTATCTTGTCCAAAATGCATTCCCTCAATATAATCATGAGAAATCAATCAGGCGAACCTAAATTGAAAGACTGTGTATGAAACAACTGACTAGTATCTCCAAAAATGCCAAAGTCATGAAAGACAAGGAAAGACTGAGAAGTTCTCATAAATTGGACGACACTAAGGGGACTTAACTAAATGCCATGTCGGACCCTAGACTGGATCTCAGAATAGAGAAAACACATGTGGAAAAACTGGTGAAATTTGAATAAGATCTACAGTGTGGTTCATGGTATTGTACCAATATTAATTTCCATTTTGGTAATTGCACTGTGGCTGTGGATAATGTGAAGATGAAGGAGACCTGGGAAGTGGGTTTAAGAAACTCACTGCATTATTTTTCTTTCAGCTGTTCTGTAACTGTAAAATTGTTTAAAAACAAAACATTAAAATTTCTGTGTTCTTTATTTCTGAGGTCGGTTTGGTTGGATGAAAAAACTTTGGCTTTTATTTATTTTCTTAAGTATCATAAATTGTTACTCTGTTGTCTTCTATTATATCACATTACTGTCAAAAATAAAATGACAATATGATTTTCTTTTTCCTGTCAATGACTTGGTCTTTTTGTCTTGATATGCAAAATATGCTTTAAAAAATTGTTCAAAGTTTGATAAAATTACTAGACTATGTCTTGATATTGGCCATTCTGGATACATTTTCCCAGCACTTAGTGTATCCTTTAAACATGGAATTTCAAATTTTGAAGTTTATTTTTTCAGTGAAGTTTTCTCCAACTTTGTATTAAAAAAATCCTAGCGTTCAGAAAAATTGAAAGAATGTTAAAGTAGACATCTATATATGCTTCACTTACATTTGCTAATTGCTAACATTATACGACATTTGTTCTATGTCTGTACGTGTATGTGTATTATTTACTCATTTATATTTGGCAAGAATTTTGAGAGTAAGTTGCTGATGTGAGGATACCTCATCCTTAAATATTTTACCATAGGTCTTCTAAAATGAGGACATTCTCCTATTATTAGCACAACATAATTTTTACACTAGCATTGATAAAATACTGTTATTTAATAGTTACATTGAAGTTTTCTGAATTCTTTCAACAATGTTCTTAATAGCTTTTTCTTCAATCTAGGTTCCAATAAAAGATCGCACATTGCATTTGGTTGTCACATTTCTTACATCTTATTTTTACTTTATTTTAAAAAATTATATAGTTTTAGGGGCACAGGGGTTTTTTGGGTATGTGGATAAATTGTATAGTGCTGAAGTCTGGGCTTTTAGTGTACCCGTCACCTAACTTGTGTACATTGTACTCAATCTTAAATCTTTAATTTAGAACAGTTCCTACAGCAGTTATACAAGGTTGAACCATTGAAAAGACTCACAAAACCTCGTAGAGCATACTCTTATAGAGCTTTAGGAAAGTAGAGGATACAGTACCACAGGAGAAAGAAGATGCAAACATCAAAGAGGTTCAAGTCTCCCAGGCACAACTCATAGGGTTCTTGGTCACACTGTGTGTGCTTCTTCAGATCATAAATTACCAAGACCCATGCAAGGAACTTGGTCTCATGTGCCACAGTTTATCCCATGGAAGTCTTTTACAACCCTGAGATCACACAGCCAAAACCAGCCTACAGGACTCTCAGGAGTCATCCGATGTCAGTTTGCCATTATTACAGATGTTAATTGTGATCACTCATCTGCCATATTTACTAGTTGTAAAGTACTTTTTACCCATTTGTAATAAATTACAACTGAGCAATAATGCCTAGAGTCTATGTGAATATCTTGTTTCCCAACACATTTTCACCCAAGAGATTTCACATTCATTGATGCTCCTCATGTGAATCAGTTATTATAAGGTGGATACAAAATGGTGTTTTTAGAGTTTTTTATTCTTTCTACATTTAATAATTTGAATTCTTTTGTAAAGAAGAGCCTTTTCTTTTATTTTCCTTCTTTCTCCCCACTCCCCCCACATTTTGAGGGTCCTATGGATTTATTGGAGTTATTAATATTTTTAAAATTGAATAAAATTAAACATATACGTTATTAATATTACCCTTTATGATGTTCAAATTCTCCCAGTTTCTACCTATGGAAGCCCCTTTAAGCTAACTCCTGCTGACATATCCCCATTCACTTTTTGGTGTTTTTCTTACTTTGTAGTACAACAAGCCATTCTGTTCTGCTTGAACCAGGCCTGAGAGGGTGTTTCTTCAAGGATCCCTGAGATTAGAATCCAAGATCTGGGTAAGCAGGTGTGCTCATTGCCCCTGGGGTGTCATTACATCTAGACCCTTTCAGTGGACAAACCTAGGAAATATATCTTTTAAAATTAAGTACTGTAGTGAATGCTGTGGTGCTCCATACTTTCTTCATGCCTCCTTTTTAAGTTATTCACTGTGAACATGTATGTCTCTACCACTAAATTATAATAAGGTACACAAAAGCATGAGTTACATCTTGTTTATGCCTATAATTCTTAATATCCTGGATAATTGCTGGGGACATAGAAAGATATCTGTTAAGTTGAAAAGACTCTTTTCTCCTGTTCAATCTTCATCAGTGGGAGTTAGCTAATGTCTATATGGTGACCTTTGTTGCGAAGTGAATTTGCTGGTGATGTGAAATGGAAGCAATTAGGGCACTTTAGTTTTACTATTTTTGCTGAAGTGGTCCACGTACAAAAAAATTTGAGAGCTATCACTTATTTAATCATCTGCATTTATGAAAAAAGAAATGTGAATAAGGTCCACATAAAGAGGTCTAAATGAGTAAGACTAACAGTTTTTAATCGTCAGTGGTTATTATTCTGGGGCCATAAAATATATCCAATATTTTGTTTATACCACTATCCTCTAACTGAATTGGCACCATCAAATTTAAGTAAAGATTGAGCAAATTTTCAGTATATTTGATTCCTTAAGTAATCATAGTCTAGAAAGCCAGATATTAATAGCCTCCATTTATAAGCATTTACCAATTAATTAATGCAATTGAGTTAGCAGATTTCACAGACTGATAGATAGATCATTTATTCATCACAAGACATTTGCAAGGCAAATGGTAGTATCCCTGCTTTTACAGTGGAGCATGTATAAGCAAGATAGTTAAGTAAACTGCAGATGACCACATAAGTTATAGAAAGAGGATTCGAAGTCAGGTCTGTCTGAACCTGAGCCCTACTCTTTTCACTATGGAACATGGTGTATTTGGGAAACTTAAGCGTACAAAATATATAAAATGTCTGAAGGTCTCAGTGACTCACAGGGACCTGTCTGTACTGGATGAATTAACGAGCTGTTTCCTGAAGCTCCATCCCTCTGTATGTGGCACAGGCGTCCCCCTATTACCCACTGCTATGAGTTTTAGGAAAGAGGACATTCCCTACTCAAGGTCTTCCTGCAGTTTGACCTTCCAGAGGACCCATGCTTTGCCCCTTCTGCGGGAGGCCTGATATTTCCCTTCTCACTTTCTGACACTGGCAGACTCT